AGGAAGGACTCACTGGAGAAGAGCCTGATGCTGGGAAAGATCAAGGGCAAGAGAAGAAGGGGACGACAGAGAATGAGGTGGCTGGATGGAGTCACTGAAGCAGTAGGCGTGAGCTTAAATGGACTCCCGAAGATGGTAGAGGACAGGAAGGCCTGGAGGAGATCAACGCCGACTGCACTTTAGAAGGCCAGATCCTAAAGTTGAAACTCAAGTACTTTGGCCACCTAATGAGAAGGAAGGACTCACTGGAGAAGAGCCTAATGCTGGGAAAGATTGAGGGCAGTAGAAGAAGGGGATGACAGAGAATGAGGTGGCTGGATGGAGTCACTGAAGCAGTAGGCGTGAGCTTAAATGGACTGCAGAAGATGGTAGAGGACAGGAAGGCCTGGAGGAACCTTGTCCATGGGGTCACAATGGGACGGACACGACTTCGCAACTAACAACAACAACATGGAGAAGGGGGCCAAAGTCAAGTTGAGAGTCACAATGAAGCTCCTGTCTCATTTATCTATACTTTTTAAGCTCTGGGCAGTTGCGAAGAAGGCAACTTCACTGGCTGATCTTCTAAAAATCCGTTTCCCACTGATTACCCCCAGCATGATTGACTTTTTGAGTGAGTCAGCTTGCATGACATGGCCAAAGTATAGCAGCCTCTGTTTGGCGATCTTGGGTTCGAGTGATATTTTTGGGGCGGTTTGGTGTCAAGCTTCAAAGAAACTTTATTCCGTTTCAGCCATTGTTGTTTCTTAGCTTGCTAACAGACCCAGGAAGGAGGAGGGATGAATGGAATGTGCATTTGCAGGGGTGAGCCAGGAAGCCTGGGAATCAAGGTCATTCAGATTATTTACGAAGTAAGGAAAGATTTCTCTCGTAGCAATTGTCTGAGGTTTAATTGGGGAATGTGACTTGCACTGTCAGGGGAAAGGGGAGTTTCTATATTTTTAATTTACTGATCTGACGCCAAATTAATTGGAACTGGTTTTCTATTCATCAGTGCCGATATGCTGTACTCAATAAAGTTTTGCATTAGAGATTGGAATGTCTCAGCTGTGCTTGGGATCATCAGTTGGAACCTTGACGGAACCTTTAGGACTTCTTTATTTATTATTTTTGCAGTCCTTGGGATGCGTAATAGTCACCTCCAGCCACTTTTGTGACTAGCCACACATTTGTGCTGTAAATAGGAACCCCTTTACTGTTTTGTGCAAGCATCCATGACATGCTGTTAATACTTTGAGTATGATAGAGTTAGATGTAGCCCTCAGGACTACTGGATAAGCATTCAAGGTTTACCAAATAAGGTCAAATGAGATTTGGCTAGAGTGTTATACCTTAAGGGCCATGAGAATAAGAGGCCTCATCTGAGATACCCAGACAACTGATGCTGGGAAAAGTCCTAGGATTGTAACATGGGCTCAGATCTTTCTGTTGTTTATGGACTTTATTAATTTAGGAGTTAAATAGCCCCAAGTCCCAAAGCTGCAACCAATTATTAGAAATCTTGACTGTGAGGCTGCCCAAGACTCTGCCAAATGTTCATTTTTAATGCAACAGATGGGAAAGATGATTAAATACGTGGGGAGTTACTGTTAACTGTGTTCAGTTGCTTTAGCTTCAATTTAATTACATTTATATTTCAACGAAATGGCACCAGATTTCTTTCGCCCTGCAAAAACTCTCTGAAGAGGATGGCCCTCAACCTAATTCAGGCCACACAAAAGGTGCACAGTTCATAGGGCTTTGTGTGTGTGTGTGTGATGGAATGTAGTCTGAAGTTTCAGGGGTGGGGGGCTAACTCTCAGAGGATGAAGAGGCAGCAGGAAGAGGTCTGGTAGGCAGGAAGAGGCCAAACACAACCCCGTCCCAGCCTATATCTATAATCCTGCGGATAGCTGCTTTAGTCTGGCAAAATCCTGTCTGTAGGCAAACAGCAATAAAGAAACTAGCCAGAGGTAACACAATATGTCATTCTTGGTTCTTGGGGCCTGACATCTTTCAACATCCCATGCCTTTTGCCTTTTGTCAGTACACCCATATTGTACTCCTTGGATTCCTTCCTTTTATCTTTCCTCTGGTGATCACTGAAACTCTAACAGTGCATTCAGACAGAGATCAAGAATCTCGTTGTTCAAGTAAGAATAAAAGAGGCCCCAGAAGAAGATCTAATCCAGTGGTTCTCAATCTGTGGGTCGGGACCCCATTTGGGGTCGAACGACCATTTCACGGGGGTTGCCAAACAACGCAGTCCGCCATTTTTTTCCCTTTTCCTTAGCTGTGCTACTTCCTTTTATTCTATTGGCTTTTGAAAGCCAATAGAATAGACTATCTTGAATAGAGTCTAATTCTATTGGCTTTCAAAAGCCAATAGGAATTGTCCAGGCTGTCTCTGCCCTGCTGAGCCCGCCAAAAGTCTGCACAAGTGCTGCACAAGTTGAGTAGTCTTCGACTTACGACCGGTTGGGGGTCGCGGCATTAAAAAGGTTGAGAACCACTAATCTAATCCCTCCAGAGACCATTAAAAACAGCCTAAACTTCTGCGCTTCCACTCTGGCTTTGTACTCGCTTGCAGAGACACCTATCGCCAAGCTCCCAAGGATTGGGGGCTTGCAGTCAATTATCCTTATATATAAAAAAAGGAGAAAAGAATGATCCTGCTAATTATAGACCAATCAGCCTCCTCGACACAATCAGCCAACTCTGTGCAAGACGTGTACAACAGAAACTTCAGGACTGGCTGAAACAAGAAAACATATTTGCAAAGGGAGCAAACTGGTTTTAGAGAAGGCTGGTGGTCTACCATTAATCAATGCATTCAGATAGTCCCAGTCTTCAGAATAACAGATTTGGAAGGGACCTTGGAGGTCATCTAGTCCAACCCCCTGCTCAATCAGGAAACCCTGATACCATTTCGGACAAATGACCATCCAGTCTCTTCTTAAAAACTTCCAGTGTTGGAGCATTCACCGCTTCTGGAGGCAGGTTGTTCCACTGATTAATTGTTCTAACTGTCAGAAAAATTCTCCTTAGTTCTAGGTCCGTTTTTTCCTTTTCTCCTTTTAAAAGGATCCAAATGGGAGAAAATGTCAATGTAAGCCATTTGCTAACCCAAAATCTAATTCTGGTTGAGAGGCAAACAATTTAATTTGATCTAGGTTTTTGCTGCTGTTAAGGAGAGTAGCAAAAAAGCATCCGAAAACAGTATTTAGACAGCAGAGGGCACTGCTTGACTTTCAAGTAAATTGCCTTCTGCATTGCCCATGTGTTAGTAGGCCAAACAGATTTTGATTAAGGCTGGAGGAAGGCAGAAGTTGATTACTGTGTTATCAACAAAAGCACATATTTAGCAAAACCAGTAATTGATTCTTGACCTGGACAGACTTGAACACTGGGCGCTACCTAACAAAATGAAATTCAGTGGTGAAAAAAGCAAGGGACTACATTTAGGCAAGAAAAACCAAATGTACAGGTATAGTATAGGGGGTACCTTGCTCAATAGTAGTAACTGTGAGATGGATCTCAGAGTCCTAGTGGACAATCACCTAAATATGAGCCAGCAGCTGCAGCTGCCAAAAAAGCCAACACAGTGCTGGGCTGCATTAATAGAGGGATAGAATCAAGATCACGTGAAGTGTTAATACCACTTTACAATGCCTTGGTAAGGCCACACTTGGAATACTGCATCCAGTTTTGGTCACCACGATGTAAAAAAGATGTTGAGACTCTAGAAAGAGTACAGAGAAGAGCAACAAAGATGATTAGGGGACTGGAGGCTAAAACATATAAGGAACGGTTGCTGGAATTGAGTATGTCTAGTTTAATGAAGAGAAGGACGAGGGGGGACATGATAGCAGTGTTCCAATATCTCAGGGGCTGCCCCAAAGAAGAGGGAGTCAAGCTATTCTCCAAAGCGCCTGAAGGCAGGACAAGAAGCAACGGATGGAAAATAATCAAGGAGAGAAGCAACCTAGAACTAAGGAGAAACTTCCTGACAGTTAGAACAATTAACCAGTGGAACAACCTGCCTCCAGAAGCGGTGAATGCTCCAACACTGGAAGTTTTTAAGAAGAAACTGGACAGCCATTTGTCCAAAATGGTATAGGGTTACCTGCCTGAGCAGGGGGTTGGACTCGATGACCTCCAAGGTCCCTTCCAACATTATTATTATTATTATTATTATTGTTGTTGTTGTTGTTGTTGTTGTTGTTGTTATTATTATTAGTAGTAGTACAATAGCATGGATATTCAGTAATCAAAAGGGATTTATATTAGTTTGGAATATAGCATCCAGTTCTGGTCATCACAATACAAAAAAGATGTTAAGACTCTAGAAAGAGTGCAGAGAAGAGCAACCAAGATGATTAAGGGTCCAGAGGCTAAACCGTATGATGAATGAATGAGGGAGCTAGTTATTTCTGGTCTAACAAAGAGAAGGAATAGGGGGTGACATGGTAGAAGTCTTCCAATACTTGAGGGGCTGTCAGAGAGAAGAGGAGGTCGAGCTATTCTCCAAAGCACCTGAGAGCAAGACAAGAACTAATGGGTGGAAGATTATTAAAGCGAGGTCCAACTTGGAATTAAGGAGGAGTTTCCTGACAGTGAAGAGGACAATTAACCAGTGGAACTGCTTGCCTCCAGAATGAATGTGGGTTCTTGAAGTTTTCAAGAACAGCCATTTGTCCAGAACGGAATATCATCTCCTGCAACGGGCAGAGGGTTTGACAAGAAGACCTCCACAGTCTCTTTCAATCCTATTTTTCTATGTTCTAGTTTGTGCCATTGAAATGGCCACATGCTCATTTCTGCATTACATCGTAAATATGAATCCAGGCATGGAGAGTTCTAAGTGGTTAGACTTTTGGAAAACTTTGCCCCGGGTGAAGCTAAGCAATAAGTCCTTCAGTGAACTGTGGATGGGCACTAGAAGCAAGGAATGAGTTTTTTTTTAAATTTTGGCTTGTCTCGCCATTTCATTGCTCAGATAACATTTTGGCAGGACTTACCCCCGTGACTGCTCTGACTCTGGAGTCCTTCCACCCTGTAGACTTTAACAAGGGACACCCTCTTAGGGACACCCAGCAGGATATCCAGGAAAGACAGCCTGGGTTTGTCCAGTTTCAGCTCCCTGAAATATCAAAGTGAAATGAGTATGTAGGCTGTAGAGAAAGTTTAGTAGATGTATACATTTCGCCTGAAGTTTAAAGCCTAGTTCATATAATGTGTCCAAGCCAAGGATTAGCCAGGATTGTTAATATAGTTAATATATATGGGGCTAAAAATAAAATTTGCTAAATGATACACAATAATGGTAGTTTTATTTTGGTTCATTGCAGGGCTTTTTTTTTTTTTTCATAGAATGCCCAGAACGGAGTTCTGACACCTTTTTTGGATGGAACCTTGTAGGGTAGGCAAGGCGGGTCGTATGAAGTGTGTGAGTTCTGGCACCTTTTTTTTTTTTTTTTAGAAAAAAAGCACTGGTTCATTGTTTTGAGTCACTCCAGATATTAGAGTTCCTTGATGCTCACTGACCTTGCACGAGAATGAATGATATTACTTAGTTGGGTGATGAAATGTCTGCAAGAAAACAAGCAAGGTCAGAGAGCACTAAGGACCCCTTATTTCAGCCCTGAGCTACAAATATTTTCCTTTATCAATCACTCCAGATATTGTCCGTAAGCCATTAGACAGCTATTTATGATAAAAAAATTACAACTCAAATACTGTGTAGATGACTGATTTCGAACAACAGTTGTCATTCCATGGCATCACCTAGCTTGTTGTTGTTAATTGCGAAGTCGGGTCCGACCCATCACGACCCCATGGACAACGTTCCTCCAGGTTTTCCTGTCCTCTACCATCTTCTGGAGTCCATTTAAATTCACACCTACTGCTTCAGTGACTCCATCCAGCCATCTCATTCTCTGTCGTCCCGTTCTTCTATTGCCCTCAATCTTTCCCAGCATTAGGCCCTTCTCCAGTGAGTCCTTCCTTCTCATTAGGTGGCCAAAGTATTTGAGTTTCAACTTCAGGATCTGGCCTTCTAAAGAGCAGTCGGGATTGATCTCTTCTAGGATTGACCGGTTTGAACGCCCTGCAGTCCAAGGGACTCGCAGGAGTCTTCTCCAGCACCATAGTTCAAAGGCCTCATTTCTTTGGCGCTCAGCCTTTCTTATGGTCCAACTTTCACAGCCATACATTGCAACTGGGAAAACCATGGCCTGGACTATACGCACGTTTGTTGGCAGGTTGATGTCTCTGCTTTTTAGTATGCTGTCTAGATTTGCCATAGCTTTCCTCCCCAGGAGCAAGCGTCTTTTAACTTCCGAATTACCTCTGATTACTCTGCAATGTGGAGCCTATGTGCCCTAATGTGAATGAAAACTGCAGGAAGTCAATACATATTGCTTTCATCACACAGACACAAAACGCAGTCGCCACCAAAGTGTCTGCAGTGTTCATCTTGTTCACTACAATTCTATGAACATCTTGCTTCCTTCGTGCAGTGTGTCAGTCTTCCTTTATCAAACGTTTGGAAGTTTCGGCGAGGGCCAGCAAAATGGAGAAGAGAAAAAGCCCTATCAACAACAGTAACAGTGATAGAGTTGGAAGGGACCTTGGAGGTCTTCTAGTCCAACCCCCTGCTCAGGCAGAAAACCCAATACCAGGGGTAGGCAACCTTGGTTCTTTTATGACTCGTGGACTTCAACTCCCAGAATTCCTGAGCCAGCCATGCTGAGGAAAAAAGGAGAGGTTTCCAAGCTGAGCCATGCTGGCTCAGGAATTCTGGGGGTTGAAGTCCACCAGTCATAAAAGAGCCAAGGTTGCCTACCCCTGGCCTAGACCATTGCCAGATGGTAGATGCTGAATTAGTACCTGAGTGCTGATGGAACATCCGTGAAGAGCCTCAGAATGAATTCCCCTTCAGTGTTTGGAGAAAAAGTGGTTGGAGTCAAAAGGTACCGGCCTTGCTTGAGAAGCACTTTCAGATACATGGTGCGATTGTTCAGGTAGGTGAAGTTAGTTATTCTCTCTTGCATTTTCAACTGGTGCAAGCGATAGTCTCGGTTATCCTCCACCTAAGGTTGGAAAGAAAATGTAGGTTTGTCATGTTCTCATTCACAGGGGAGTTGGCTTGTCAAAGGCTATTTTCATATGCTGGATTCCAACAATTAAGCTCAACTGCACTCAGGGAACTGCTGTTCAGGAAATAATAGAAACAGAATAACAGAGTTGGAAGGAACTTCTTTTTTTTTTTTAAATATATTTTATTGGTTTTTTAATTTTAACAAAAAGTACTTAAGTCACACCGTGGTGTTTGGGTAAACAAACATTTCAAAATAAAAACGTACATAAACAGCTCTACTTAATACATTCACTGTCATCTCTCTATTTCCCTCAAATAACATAATAGATTTAATATCCCTCAAATAACATAATAGATTTAATAATATTAATATATTCCATTTCTAGCTTAAATTTCTATTACTACTAAACCTGTTTTAAAACTTTATCAATTTATAATTACCATAATCAAATATTGTTTTACATCAACAAATTGTCACTTCAAGTATCTCTTCCAAATATATTCAAGCTCTTAATCTCTCTCATCCCTCTTTTAATCACCAATCTCATTTATTTCTTCTTACCTTGGAGGTCTCTAATCCAACCTCCTGCTCAAGCAGGAAACCCTGCACCATTTTGGACAAATGGCTGTCCAATCTCTTCTTAAAAACCTCCAGTGATGGAGCACCCACAACTTCTAGAGGCAGGTCGTTCCACTGGTTCATGTTCTCACTGTCAGGAAATTTCCCCTTAATTCTAGGTAGGTTCTCTCCTTGATTAATTTCCATCTATTACTTCTTGTCCTGCCTTCAGGGGCTTCGGAAAATAGGTTGACCCCCTCTTCTATGTGGCAGCCCCTCAAATATTGAAACACTGCTATCATGTTGCCCCTAGTCCTTCTTTTCACTAGAGTAGACAAGCCCAATTCCTGCAACTGTTCCTTATATGTTTTAGCCTCCAGCCCCCTAATCATCTTTGTTGCTCTTCGCCGTACTCTTTCTGATGTCTCAACATCTTTTTTCATATTATGGTGACCAAAACTGGATGCAAAGTTATGTAAAAGTAATCTCAGAAGTAGTCCTTGCTTAACTATGGGTAATTGGGAATGGCAACTTAATTGTTGAGCAGAAAAATCTATGACCTGTAATGACACTTCTGGTTGCTATTCTTAAATAAGTCTCATGGGGTCATAAAGCATGACATCCTGTGACCATGATTTGCAACTTCCTGTTGGACTTCCTATTGACTTTGCCTGTTGGAAGCCAGTAACGAAGGTCACAGTTAGCAATCACATGACTGCAGGATGCAGTAACCATTGTCATTGTCAAGTATCTAAGTCACAATCATGTGACTGTGGGGACACTGCAACAGTTGGTACTTCAAAGACCAGTTTTAAGTCCCATTCATTTAGTATTGTTGTAACTTTAGTTGCTGAACAAGGGCTGGCTAAGTGAGATCTACCTGTACATGAAGGTAGATCTTATGGCTGGATCTGCCACGTGAACAATGAGCACAAAAATATGATACATTACATTCTTTAGGGCAATTGTTTTGAGTACAGGTGGATGGAGACCTACCTTGAAAATCTCAAAGCCAATAACAAGGTTATCTCCTGCCCCTTCTTTCCTGTGAATCCGTTGGTCCTTCTGTTGTAGGGAGATCAAGACTTTGTCCTCCACCTTCTTAACATCAAAGATGTACTGAAAAAAAAGAGGCATAGACCAAACTGCTATGAAAGTGTAGTTTATATGAAAACTATCCAAGAGTTGGAAAGCAACTGTTACTAAGGTCTTGTATAAGGTTATTGACATTTTAGATCTTTCCAGTGATGTTGTTCGTCCATTGATTTCGACGAAGACCTTGACATCTTGTGGATTATGGGCCATCAACGATGTGTCCGTAGGTAGCTAATAAGACTGATGCTAGCATGGAATGTTCTGCCACATACTGAACAAAGAAATGTAAACTCTGTTACTTCAGCATTTACAGCTCTGGCTTTGCGGAGTGCTCGCTTCTCTTGTGCTCGCTTCTCTGTGTTCATATGTCTGGCAACCCTGGTATACCAAGGTGCACCATGTCGGTCGATCATGCGCCAGAAGTTCCCAAGAGATGGTGTTAATATCCAGGGACTTGAGAGAGGCTTTCAACGTGTCTTTGTATCGCTTCTTTTGTCCCCTGTGCGATTGCTTTCGTTGAGGCAGCTCACCATAGAAGAGCTGTTTAGGGATACAATGATCTGGCATCCTTACAACATGGCCTGCCCAGCGCATCTGGGCTTTGTTATACATATGATTGCATACAACAACCTTACACAGCACTTAATGCAACTTTTCCCAATTAAGTACAGTCCAGATGTTTTGAGGTTCAGTGCTATAATCTCCCAACTTGAAGGCTCTTTGGATGTTGAAGTACATACTTGGAAAATACTAAACTTCCTGGAGATTAGTTCTGAGTTATGGGAATTCTTATCAGCCTTATTGATGGAACCTCTAAAGGTATCTCACTGGTCAATGTTGGAAGGTGGAATGCTCAAAACATGTAACTAACCTAGCTCCAGGGTTGTTATGTAGACAAATGTAGTGATATAGGGCAATCCTACGAGGCAGATCAAAGTAAGATGAAACTCAAGGATTAGTTGTCTGTGCCAGTTTTATTCTTTTTAAAGGAGCTGAAGTGATCCTGTTTATCTTTGGGATAGTTGATAGATTAAAAATGATGGGTGCCTACTTTCAAATAAGGACAATTGGTTGTGGAATCTGATCTTTGGGAACTTTGATACCAAAACTTCTGATGGAACTTAGTCACCAGAAGTTTAATTTCTCCAAATGTCACAATGCAGATCATTGCAGAAAACAAAATACTGAAATAGTTTTAGAAATGTGTACAGTATCTAGAGAGAGAATCGGTCTAAGTCAGGGGTAGGCAACCTCGGCTCTTTTATGACTCGTGGACTTCAACTCCCAGAATTCCTGAGCCGCTGGCTCAGGAATTCTGGGAGTTGAAGTCCACGAGTCATAAAAGAGCCGAGGTTGCCTACCCCTGGTCTAAGTGTTGTCTCCTGAGATTTTGGGAGCTCCATCACTGGAGATTTTCAAAAGTAGATTGGACAACCATTTATCCAAGATAGTATAAGGACTCCTGACTTGAGCAGAGGATTGGACTAGAAGACCTCCAAGGTCTCTTTCAGTCCTATAATTCTATGATTCCACAATCCTTTGAATATGTGTTAAGTGCAATATTTTTGTAGAATTTTAAACTATACAATACATAAAAGCAGTGCTGTTACGAAAACCAGTGGGACATAATATGGACCAGTCTAATGGACCATGTGCAGAGGAATATAGGTACTGCCAAACTGAGGATGAGTGGAAAAGAGATTTCAGGAGATAAATGCTTATATCTTAGTCACAATTTCAAAAGTGAACTTCTAGCTTAGGCGTATGCAAACAATTCCCTCTGTCAATCCTCACCCCTAAAAACACTTTACAGGATTTACTGCTAGATTCTGAATGCCTGTTAGTCAGGGGTGGCTGCACAATCCTAAGACATAGCTGCTTTAAAGAGCATTGCACAATGCTACGTGCACTTATGTACATGCTCTGAATGCATTTTGCTTTTTTTAAAAAAAAATAACAACAACGAATGGCAGCATGGATCTAAATATTACACATGCATAAGAGGTAGTTACATTTGCCGTTTTTAATGAATTAACATGATGTAAATACAAGCACAACGAAACCCAAAAATGGTTTTATCCTGTCTTATCCTATGTCGGGTCAAGTCCTATACATAGTGAATTCTATCTATCTATCTATCTATCTATCTATCTATCTATCTATCTATCTATCTATCTATCTATCTTTCTGTCCGTCCATCCATCCATCATCTATCTATCTGTCTGTCTGTCTGTCTGTCTGTCTGTCTATCTATCTATCTATCTATCTATCTATCTATCTATCTATCTATCTATCTATCTTTCTGTCCGTCCATCCATCCATCATCTATCTATCTATCTATCTATCTATCTATCTATCTATCTATCTATCTTTATGTCTGTCTGTCTATCTATCTATCTATCTATCCATCCATCATCTATCTATCTATCTATCTATCTGTCTATCTATAATCTATCTATCTATCTATCTATCTATCTATCTATCTATCTATCTATTCATCCATCCATCATCCATCATCTATCTATCTATCTATCTATCTATCTATCTATCTATCTATCTATCTATCTATCTATCTATCTATCTATCTATCTATCTATCTATCGCTTCTTGTCCTGCCCTCTGGTGCTTTGGAAAATAAGTTGACCCCCTCATCATTGTAGGAGCCCCTCAAATATTGGAAGAACAAATATTTTTGGGTTTAGATTTATGCCCACAGAAAACCCAAACTATGTATGAATCAAATATAAATTATATGAAAACCTGAGGGTTTTGGAGAAAGGTTGCTTCATGGTTTAAACACCCTCCAGAGCGATTTAACAAGGGATCTGGATTCTTGGTCCACTCTCCACGCATCATTTTCTTTTCCCAGGTCTTATGGATACTGAAGAAAGACGTGTTCACAATCCGACAGATGTCCACATCAGTAAAGTTCTTGCACCAGTCTTCAAATGTCATCCTGACCCATAGAGCATTAAAAAGGAAAATAAACCCTAAGCACATTATTTAATTAATGGTGGCTGGGTGAGTAGAGAATGTTTCTTTTTTCATATAAAAATAACATCCCCCCCCCCAAAAAATGTATAGTCCACTTCTTAGTTCTGGTATCAGCTGAGACTGGAACAACAAGCCCAAAATTATTTTTCACCCTTTTCCCATCAATCTTTTCCATTCTTTTTCTGAAGGGTTTGGAGGAATGGAACTTAAATTCTTTGGAATCTCTGCAGATGTGAATATGAATTATTAAAGAGCGATCAGGGATCAACCAGGTTTGCTAAATGTCACTTCCCACAATGTCACTTCTAGGGATCTTAGCTGCTATGTAGCAACTTCTGAAAAGTCACTGGTGCTATTATAATATTTGGTTTTATTTTAGGTAGCAAGTTTTTTTAACCTTTATGCTTTTCTAAATGAAATACTGGTTATTGACCGAAGTTAAAGGATAGGCTGGCTTGGCTTTGCACATCTGATGTTCTGCAGGTAGTCCTTGACGTATGACAACAATTGAGCCCAAAATTACTATTGTTAAGGGAGACATTTGTCAAGTGAATTTTGCCCCATTTTACAACTTTTCTTGCCTCGGTTGTTAAGTGAATCACTACAGTTGATAGGTTAGTAATCCAGTTGTTAAATGAATCCAGCTTCCCCATTGACTTTGTTTGGCAGAAGGTCGCAAAAGGGGAAATCACATGACTTAAGGACACTGCGACCATCATAAATATGGACCAGTTGCTAAGTATCTGAATTTTGATCACATGATCATGGGGATGCTGCGAAGGTCGTAACTATGAAAAACAGTCATAAGTCACTTTTTCCAGTGCCATTGTAACTTTGAACGGTCACTAAACAAACTGTTTAAGTTGAGGATGACCTGTAATTGTGTGTTAGGTTGATCAACCAGAACAGGCAAACAAAATACTAAAGGGTCATCTGTTGCTACTCAACAGCTAGGATTCTCTGCCATGAACGGTCATCTTATTTTTTCTTACATAACTAAATATGACAACCCTTCATGGCTCAAGGCCCAGCAATCTTTGAGATTGCCTATTCTCCACCGAATATCCCCATCTGGTAAGATCTGGGAGAGAGCCTGGTAAAGATTGTATCTCCAAAGGACTCCATCTCTAGATTCTTCTAGAGAATGGTGTCCCACTTATGGAACAGCTTCCTATTGTACACTGAATTACCTCATCCCAGATGTGTTTTGTAACAAAATAAAAAGATGGATTTGGGAAGAGAACATTTGAAGAACGTTAAGGGTGGGAATCTACTCAAGCGGGTTAGTATCATTATGCTGATGAGTGTTGAGTTTTGAATTTTCCGTTTCTTTATTTCTCTCTATGTTCAGTTAGAACAGTGGTTCTCAACCTTTTTAATGCCGCGACCCTCAACTGGTTGTAAGTCGAGGACTACTCAACTGGTGCAGCACCGTTTGCAGAATGGGACTTTTGGCGGGCTCAGCAGGGCAGAGACAGCCTGGACAATTCCTATTGGCTTTTGAAAACCAATAGAATTAGACTCTATTCAAGAGAGTCTATTCTATTGGCTTTCAAAAACCAATAGAATAAAAGGGAGGAGCACAGCTAAGGAAAAGGGGGGAAAAATGGCGGACTGCGTTGTTTGGTGACCCCCGTGAAATGGTCGTTCGACCCCAAATGGGGTCCCGACCCACAGGTTGAGAACCACTGAGTTAGAAGCTGAATGGCATAGAAGAGAAAAGGAATGAATGAATGAATGATGGGAATTTGTACCAGGAAAAAAATAGTTTCTTGTGCAGAGAAGATAATACCACTAAGGATTATTGGAAGCAAAACTAAATATGACATGGACATAGATTGAGTAAGTGAGCTCACCAAAATTCTCCATTATTTTCAAGGGTGAGACCTAATCTTGTGCGCTCCGATTTGCTCACTTTTTTCCATTCCTCAGACCTAAAAAAAAGAAAGGGGAAAAAAAAGTGAAATGCCAATTTTATCCATTTTTTTAAATACAAGCGCGCCTAATGTTCAGCTACACTAGTTGAAGGATAAATTGGGCTCCAAAAGTGAAAATAATGCATTTGCTGAAATTTCTGTAACTTGAGCCTAGTCTCTCCAATAAACTTTATAAAAGGAACCTAGGGGAAAAAAAAACATGCTGTCTTTTCAGTGGGCTATCAAAAGTCTGCCCTTGAAGGAGAGCTGACGGGAAAAAAATAAATTAGAAACTTGGATAAACTTGAATAAGTTGATTAAAAAAATTGATATCTGCAGTTGGAACTGGCACAAACCCTTCCTTCTTCTCATAAAATGTATTCTTCAGCCTTTCTTTGAAGCTGATGTTCAAAAGTAGTTGAGATGAGTTTAAGTTAAATTAATTGTTCCATCAAATTCTCCATTGCTTAACACCAACTTGTGTCCAGCCTTGAATATGGCATTTTAAGAAAAAAAAAATCAGAGGAACTGAACAACAGAATAGTTCTTAAGATGCCATACCCAGGTCTGGACAAAGTACTTGAGTTGGTGTTAAGCAGTGGAGAATTTGATGGAACAATTAATTTAATTTAAACTACTTTTGTGGTTTTGTTTTTTTTGCAGTCATATCATACAACTGATTCATATTCAGTTTGGAGTCTACTTCTATTTTAAGATTCTTTTCACAAACTCTTTTAGCAGATAAAGCACCTCTCATCCTCTAAATTTACCGTATTTTTGTTTCTTAAGTGAGTGATATTCATATATGCTGAATTTCATTCTGCTTTTTCCAGCCTCCTTTTCTAATGCATTAAGATCATTTTGACTTGTTTCCCTGTCTTCCACCATATGCAATGTCTATCCAGTGTTTGTGTCTTCTGCAAATATCTAAATATTCTTTCCTCCCTTCATCATAATCATTAAGGAAAATAAATATCTTAATATTTATTTATTTTGATATCTTAAACCGACCTCACTATACAGGTTTTTCATTTTGTTTCCACATCTGAATATTTCCTTTCATGTTGGTGAGTAACTTTACAAGGACCCTGTAATTCATTCAAAGCTAGAAACTAATAACAGAACAACAGAGTTGGAAGGGACCTTGGAGGTCTTCTAGACCAACCCCCTTCTCAAGCAGGAAACTCTATATCATTTCAGACAAATGGTTGTCCAATCTCTTCTTAAAAACCTCCAGTGTTGGAGCATCCACAACTTCTGGAGGCAGGTGGTTCCACTGGTTAATTGTTCTCACTGTCAGGAAGTTTCTCCTTAGTTCTAGGTTGCTTCTGTCCTTGATTAGTTTCCATCCGTTGCTTCTTGTCCTGCCTTCAGGTGCTTTGGAGAATAGCTTGACTCCCTCTTCTTTGTCGCAGCCCCTGAGATATTGGAACACTGCTATTATGCCACCCCTAGTCCTTCTTTTCACTAGACCAGACATTCCCAATTCCTGCAAACGTTCTTCATATGTTTTATCCTCCAGTCCCCTAATCATCTTTGTCACTCTTCTCTGCATACTTTCTAGAGTCTAAATATCTTTTTTATATTGTGGCAACCAAAACTGGATGCAATATTCCAAGTGTGGTCTTACCAAGACATTATAAAGTGGTATCAACACTTGACATCATCTTGATTCTAATGCTTCTTCTCATTCTTAAAATATGGATTACTTACTCATCACTCCATGCTCCATTCCATTCCTTGTTTCCCCAAGGATTCCTTAATCGGATCATGAAGAATTTCTTAGACTTTCCAACGCACAGGTGCTTCTGTCCAACAGACATTTTCAGGATAGATGTCACCGAATAGGCATGACCTTTGACTAAGCCCCTGTCAGTCTCTACTTCAAAATCACTGAGGGATGAAGGCTAGGCATAAGATAAACACAAATTAATGCCAACTTTCACTGTGGTTATTGGTTTCTCGCATCAATGGCACCTTCTTCTAGATTTTGCTTCATCTGACTGTATGCTATTATTTACTATAGGGCTAAATGGGGTATTACTGCTCTTACATGCCTCTTAAGATATGATAAGAACCTCCAGAACTTGCTAATGACACATATCAGTTAAACTTGAGAAGTTCTGTTCAGGCATACACTCAAGATGGATTTCAGAAGTAGAAACACAAACACATCCACACGCATCAGCTCCACTGTGTTCTTTTAAGTAAGTCTTGAATGCATGTTGATATGTGATTAGAATGAAAACTCATAAATATAGAATTGCTATTTTGGCATATGGTATCATAGTTGTCTTATGAGAATTCTTTCTGTTATCTTAATACTTTATTTGGGGATTTTTTTATTATATTCTCTCACAAGAAGTAGATGTCTACTTCTGCTATGAAATGAACTATGAATATTCTTCAGCAGAGATAATGAATAATCTCTGAACTGAAACAAGTAGTAAACACTTACTCAGATCCTCTGGTGAGCTTGTCATATGAAATAAATAGGCTAATCCAGGGGTCCCCAATCCCCGGTCCATGGATCGGTACCAGGCTGCAGTATGCCAACAATTGGTCCGCACAAACAAGCAAAGCCCCATCTGTGGGATGCAGGCAGCACACAAAATCATACACCCTCTGGTCCGTGGAAAAACCTCTCTCCATGAAACCAGTCCCTGGTGCCCAAAAGGTTGGGGACCTCTGGGCTAATCCACAGAATATCCTACACCAGAAGGGGACTAGGGGGATCATTCTAGGGATATAGAAGCCTGAAGCTGACAACATGGTTTTCTTTTAGAGTAAAATGACATGATCCACCAATAGAGAGGATTCTTATTAGAAAGTTTACACAAAATAGGGTACGCAAAAACCACCAAAGAAACATTTTTTGTGGAACACTATAAAATTATGTACTAGAGCAGTGCTTCTCAACGTTTGTGTGACGGCGACCCCCGTCACACAAACGTTCTGCGCAAGCGTGGCGCGGCGCGCATGGGGGCGGGGGCCCCATGCACTGCGCGCATGCGTTCCGCCACCCCATGTGCAACACGCATGCGCGTCGCCGCCCCATGCGCGTCGCTGACCCATGCGCGTCGCACTTGCGCGGCGGCGCCCCATGCGCGGCGCACGTGCACGGCGGCGCCCCCATGCGTGGCGCCTGTGCGCGGCGGCGCCCCATGCGTGGCGCGCGTGCGCGGCGCCACGAAAAATGGCGGATCGCCACCTTTGGCGACCCCCGAAAAATGGGCGATCGACCCCAAATGGGGTCGCGACCCATAGGTTGAGAACCGCTGTACTAGAGAAAATTACATGCCAAAAGAAATAGATTTCTTATGCTGGGGAGAGGTCATATGGAATAAGTGAATAGGAACCAAATAAAATAAAACCATTCAATTCAATTAAATCAAGTTTTCAGTGATAATTGATGTACATTTCTGCAGTGCATCACGCTTGCAATCTGTGCCAGAGCTGTCCTATTTGGGAATTAATTAGCGCAGAGTAAGAATCATGTTATTCCACCCCATCCTCATTTCCACTCGTGAGGTTAAGGAAGTCATGGAAACATGTTGCATTCTGAAGATGTGTTTAGATTTTTTTTTTTCCTCCCACAGATAAACTTTTGAGTGAAGTTCCAGGGCCCATTGATTTCAGCCAGATGTCAAACTTAGGTATACCAGGCATTAAACAATTGTACCTGACCTAACAATGGCTCTCGGATGCCACGTAGTGTGGCTGAATTGCAGACAACAATCTATGTTTCAGGATTGGGGCAAAAATTGGCTGATAGGGCTTTTTGGAGAATTTGGTTGGCTGTTGTAGGAACTTTGGTCTGATGCAACATAGAAGGCTTTTGTTTTTAGTTTTGTTATAATATTGCACTTCAGGATTTTAAAAGGTCACCATTCAGTCCTTATTGACTCACAGCCAGTGAGGGTATGTAGAAAGATCTCTCTCTCTCTCTCCGTGTCTGTGTGAAGTTGATTATGCACATGGGAAATAAACAAGAACATGAATGGATGACAAAGCATGCTTGGACATGTTTCATTTTAATTATCTCTAAAATCCGATCCAGGAATTACTCATATTTTATCCCATTCCAAAGAGGGTGGACATATCTACAAAGGTCAACCGCATTACAGGAGACAGGAAGGCTGCATTGCTGGTTTTCACATTTCTTTTCACCCTCAGATCCTTCCCGTAAGGATTTGTCTCCAGAAGCAAAATAAAATAAAATAAAAATTAAAAAAAAAAAACATCATAGTGTGTCTACAGAACAAGCCCTACAGGAGATCTGGTGCCTTCCCAACTGACTGCAGTATCACTGAAGCCTCCCTGTTGTCCTTTCCAAGTTTCTATTCCCATAAAATCTTTTGCGGAGACAATGGTGGAGAAGGACGTATTGGCCACACAGAATCTCTCTTGAATCCCCTTTCCAGAGAATTTTGTTGCACCGGAATAGGCAGTTTGAACTGAAGTGGGAGAAATTAAGTCATTTATGACTCGCAATTTTGAGTCCATTATCAATTAGCCCACTAATTTGTGCACAGACAAATTAGATAAATGATAACATTCAGGAATGGCTCGGGAAAACACCTTCCTAATTCACTTGCGTATAAGAAGGGGGAGAAAGTACAGCACAATCAGACTCGCGAGATTTTGTTATTAGAGCCAATCTCAATAAAGGGAGTTTTTGCCTTCCTAGTCTGGCCTACCTTATGGGGCTGACAGTTTGATAAAGAATCAGAGACAGACCAAAGGACACATCACAGCTTGCTCTCTGTGCACTTACCACGATGTAGCAGCTGATCAATCCTCCCCTTTTATGAACTTTCAGCAATTCTCTGAAGAGTTTCACCTGCTCAATGATACTGTGGTTATAATTACCATCAATTAGGTTGATGGATTCTGCTATGGCTCCTGTGAAATCGACAATTGCCTCGGCTGTGCTGCCCCCATCCAAGGCTTCATAACAACCTGCCATCCTAGAGAGGACATGACACACAGAGTTTCAGATGCACAGTGAATTAGATTTTGTTATATATTTCCCCATAATTACACCTGGCCTTCTTGAACTCTCTAAGGGTTCTTGCACAACAGAAGACACAATAAAGTGGGTGGTACTTCAGAAGGACTTTGGAAGCTTCATTGCCACCTTCTCTAACTTTGCAGAAATGTTCTTCCAAATATAAATCTCTAGATCAGTGGTTCTCAACTTTTTTAATGCCGTGAGCCCCAACCGTTTGTAAGTTGAGGACTACCCAACCGGTCGTAAGTCAAGGACTTTCCCTGCCCGGGAGCGCCGCGCATGTGTGGTGCCGCCCCCTGCGCTGGCCGAGGCATAGCTGGCAAGCAGCAGAGATGGAACAAACCGACCACCGGCTGGGCCACCAGCTGGCCCAGCCCAAGGGAGGTAAGGCACCTGCTGGGCCCCACGTGCACCAGCAACCCTCCCTGCGCCCACCGGCCTCCCACCTCCCACGCCTGGCCTTCTTTTACTTACATTTTTAGTAGTTGCTCAGCAGGGAGGGGTGGAAACTTCCAGACAGCTCACCTTCGCTGCAGACAACTTGCAGCACCGTTTGCAAAATGGGACTTTTGGCGGGCTCAGCAGGGCAGAGACAGCCTGGACAATTCCTATTGGCTTTTGAAAACCAATAGAATTAGACTCTATTCAAGAGAGTCTATTCTATTTGGCTTTCAAAAGCCAAATAGAATAAAAGGGAGTAGCACAGCTAAGGAAAAGGGGGAAAAAATGGCGGACTGCATTGTTTGGCGACCCCCGTGAAATGGTCGTTCGACCCCAAATGGGGTCCCGAGCCACAGGTTGAGAACCACTGCTCTAAGAGTTCCTGCACAACAGAAGGCACAATAAAGTGGGTGATACTTCAGAAGGACTTTGGAAGGCTTCATTGCCACCTTTTCTAACTTTGCAGAAATGTTCTTCCAAATATAAATCTCTAGCTCTACACAACTATGGAAGATCGTGTAATAATGAATTGCCATGAAAATATAACACAATAATTGAATAGCTATTTGTTCGCTTTGCCAGCAGTATTCACCCTCCTTTAATCCAATACTCTTCTACCACTTCTAAAACTCTATACTCTTTATACTGGAATGGATCTGAAATAGTATGAACACACTTCAAGGTCTCTGTAGAAAAGAACAATGCCTACAAATATCCCCATATTCAGAAATCTTATTCGTGTGGCTCACAGAACTGCAATTACACCTCGTTAATCAACACCTACTTTGCATAAGCTTTCTCCAGAAGTGCACTCCAGAATTCATTGGGGTCCTTAGAAGAGCAGTAGATCAGTTTATTGTCCACGGTCGGCAATCGGTCATCTATGACCACATCAATCCATTCTCCAAAGCACCAGAAACGGAAATGAAATATCCCAGCATATTTTTCTGGTCTCTTTTGGTCCCAGTCCTGTTCCTTAATATTTGGGATCACCTACAATATGCAAAACAAAACAAAACCTTGAAAATAAAGTACTGCAAATATAGGACAGAAAATATTCATTGGTGAGCCGGAGATCAATTTGTTTATTTCAGGAGGAAATGATATACATATAAGTAAAACTGTAACTGACAGACTATTTATGATAGCCGAGGTGGCGCAGCGGTTAGAGTGCAGTACTGCAGGCCACTTTAGCTGACTGTGTTCAGCAGGTCAGCGGTTCAAATCTCACCGGCTCAAGGTTGACTCAGCCTTCCATCCTTCCGGGGTAGGTAAAATGAGGACCCAGATTGTTGGGGGCAATGTCAATATATATATACGTACATTGCTTACTGGTGTACACCGCTTGGAGAGTGCAATGCACTTAAAGCGGTATATAAGTCTCATCAATAAATAAATAAATAAACAGGAGATTATCATCCCTCTCAGATAAAACTATATCAAAGCTGCCCATTAATGGTACAGATGGGCAAATTCTCGATATTCCTCCTTGGATTAACTACAAATTGATCCAAGTTTTTCTGGAAAAGAAAATCAGAAATATTTGGACTCTCCTGAATCAATTGCTAAAATTTGCAGGAAGGGAATTGACCCACCACAAACTCTTTTCAACTTACTCCTTTCCTATGGTATAGAGCAAGGTGTCTCAACTTTAAGATGTGTGGACTTCAACTCCCGGGATTCCCCAGGCAGCAATGGAATTGAAGACATTCAAAGCTGAAGTCCATCTGACTTAAAGTCACCAAGGTTGAGAAATCCAACGCTAGACCAAAACACAAACCAACAGCAATATGTATCATTATGGTGTGAGGAGGATGCAACTTGTTTTGATGTTTGCACATCAAAACAAGGGCATGCCTGCGGCCACCATCCCCCAAGTGGTGTGGCTTGGAACACCATGTTTAAATTCTAACCAAGGAATGCAACATTTATGGCTCCAGAAGACTACCTTCTGCCACAGCGTCTTCCGAAGAGCTAGGCAAGAACAAGCAGCCACGAACCAGCAGTTTCCCAGGCTCCCTTGATGTAAATCATGGGAACTGATTCCGTTTACGGTCAGCTGTGGATCTTCACAGAACTCCTGTGAGAATAAAGCATACGAACAAAATGGCCTGGTTGATATCTCCTAGATTAATAACTAGTAGGCTCCTTAATTCGGCTAGGAGGGAAGGAGCCTAGACAGTTCAAATGAATACAGGTTTAATGCATGCTAACATTTTCTACAAGAATCTGAACCACTAACAGTCAAAGCATATTGGCGGTAGATAAGAGTCAACAGAATTCAAGTGGGCTGGACTTAGATGTCTTCTGGGTGCAAATGGATCTGAGGCTGATGACCAGCTTGACCCCTCCCTCAGGCTCAGACTGGCCATCCCCTACAATAATGCAGTTAAAGAGCAGTCCATTGTTTTAACCCAACAGAATAATAATAATAATAATAAATCCATCAAACAGGCATGCCAGAAGTGAGTTTGGAACAGGGGTGCAGCTGGTAAGGGCAATCCTCACCTTCACAGATCTGTAAAACAAAGGAAAGCCAAATTGAAATCATAACCACAGTCAGTTTCACTTAATGAATGCTTTGCTTAACAACTGAGTTGTGCGGTCTCAGTTGTGGTCTATTCATAGATAGAAAATGTGGTTGAGTCTCCACTTATTCCCGTGAGGTATCTCCAAGTCCTCTTCTCACAACTTACTATACCTTGAGAGTGGAAGTTCGTTCTCCGAGCTTGCGGGTTGGTTTCCAAACATTTCATTACCAGGCTAGGGAACATCTTTAGGGAATGTCAGTGTCGGGGTTCTTCTGCTTATAAGGGCTTTGTGTGATCAGTAGGTCTTGGGATGGGGAGGTCATGCCAGGTGAGGGTCTTGTGATGCTTCAGGCGTGGGTCACATCAGGTGATGATCACACCTGACCCATCACAAGATCCATCACAGAATCTATTGACTACACAAAGCCCTTATAAGCAGAACACCGACACTGACATCCCCTAAATTCTGCTGAAGATGTTTCCTGGCCTCGTAATGAAATGTTCAGACACGAATCCACAAGCTCGGAGAATGAACCTCCACCTCGTCCTACACCTGAGCTACAGATATTCGCGACTATTGCTACTATATCTTCCCATGCTCCTGGGAAGAGACAGTTAGGTATGCTGTCACCAGCCATTTCACTCCAGAGAAAACCCTTTCTGCCAGTGGTTTGCCAGGGAGGAGGTACGTGACACTTCCTTCCTTTAGTAGCATGACCTCTTGGGATGGGACACGCAAAAGACCAGCTCTCTTTTCCAGAGTGAACAGCATTAAGAGTTTCCCCTCTTCGTTACATATGGTGAAGTCAAAACTAAGGATGAAAGTTGAAAAGAATTCAAGAAAATTCTTAATAACTCCTTTCTGACAAAAAAAAAAAAAACTGACTTCAATCCACTCAAACTCACCAGGACAAATTCACCCAGACAAGACATTCCATTCATGTCCAAAGCCAATCAGGATGGTGGCTTTCACCTATCAGGTGGACTCTCAAGATGATACTTCCCCCAGAATGTTTTGAGGATTTTTTGATGAATGAACAACACATTTATGAATGCGAGGGCTCATTTTGCTGCAAACTTCGGTGAGACAAAACATCAGAATAGAATACAGAATGCAGAATAACAGAGTTGGAAAGGACCTCAGAAGTCTTCTAGTCCAATACCCTGCTCAAGCAGGAGACCCTATGCCATTCAAGATCAAAATAACATCCAAATGTCCTTGTCTATAGACCAGGGGTGTCAAACTCAATTTCACTGAGGGCCGCATCAGCATTGCGGTTGCCCTCGGGGGGCTAGGTGGGTGTGGCCAGAGTGGGTGCAGCCTATTGGGTGGGTGTGGATGGAGTGGGTGTGGCCTACTGGGTGGGCGCGGCCAGCTCTACATCATTCGCGTCAAGGGTGCCTGTGGGGGCCTGGGCAGTAGTGGGACAGATCTGAGGGTCTCTGGCAGAAGGGGGTGGGACTGGGGCAAGCGCCAAGGCATGGTGCATTTCTTCATTCCTCACAAAGGGTGACACCTTCTCAACATGCACCAAGGGGACGGGGCCGACATGGCAGGGGCTGGTTCCTCGCTGTTTCCAGACAGCCTTGTGGCGCTAAGACTGAATGCGTTTCAGCATAGATGGCCACCACAGAATTGTACATTGGCTCCCGGCTGGCCTGGGTCAGGGCAAAGGCAGCGGGGGCTGTTGCCTCACTGTTTTCAGGATGGCTTCGCGGGCCACATGAAACCACTTCACGGGCCACATTCGGCCCCCGGGCCTTGTGTTTGACATGTCTGCCCTATGCCATTCAAGATCAAAATAACATCCAAAATGTCCTTGTCTATAGACAGTTCATAGTCTACTTCTTTTCCACGATTCTTAATAATGTAGAAAACATCTTGTATCTAATGAGGACTTTTTGTCTCTCTCTCCCCCCCCCCCATTATACACTCTAGAAAAGCTCTATTTTTCAACATCCCTTCTTTTCTTGAGATGGTTTTTCTTACCCGATGCCTGACACAATCAGAGCTCAAGTTCCAAAACATGTTTTTGCTTGTTTGGCAGTTGATATTGGAAGCTCGCCCATTCATGAATCAAACACGCTCAACTTCTGAACAGTTCAGAGACGTTGTATATCTTACTCATTGCCTCTTGCCAGAACCATCATTTAGATGGGAACTCTTGTCTGGATCCTCTCGCCACTTTGAGCCAGACAGGCCCAGAGGTCATCATGACGGACAGCTCTGCATGCGGATGTGGTTTTAAGGCTCACTGAGGGACAGGGCCAAAGCAAATAAACACAGAACCAAAATTACATCTGCTTTTTCTGCCTTTCGCAGTTACATAAGATTTCATATATATTGTGAAAAGAGGATACCCAAAGCATTGCAGTAAGAATTTGACCGGCACTCAAAATACTTGCAAGCTTCATTTCCTGGCAGATGTTGTATAAATAAAAATATGATCTGGTTTTCTTTCTATTGGATTTTTAAGGAACACTAGTCTCTACTGAAAGATTCAGAATTTGGGTTCCTGCAAGGCCTTGATTTAGACCTGAACTTTTATCTGTAAATTTTCCAAAAAATTTGGAAGGAGAAGAATTAAGCGATTAGAATATGGCGGTATTATCAGCCTTGGACCCCCAAAGTTACCCTGCCAAAATTCAGTAGCATAATTATCCGTGTTTTAAACAATTACAGGTTAAATAGCTGGGTTAAGTTTATTTGAGGTGAAAATGCAAAACTGTCTACACTTTCTTTTTATCAGTTTGATCACCAGGAGCATTAGAAGGAAAAAGAACAAGCAAGGAACTCAATCTTTGTACCTTTTTTTCGTCCAGCTCATATTTTAGATTACGTGCCATCAATGCAATGTCATACATAAACAGGGTAAAGGATATAAAGGATATAACAGAGCAGAAGAGCAAAGTAATCAAAACAAGAGCAAATAAAAAACAAGCAAAACAAACTCAGTAGCATAAGTATCCATGTTTTAAATAAAATAAAATAAAAAAGGAGAAAAAGAGGTTTCGCAATTACTCTATCTCCAAACCAACAGTTTCCTGAATGACATAAAGGTGGGAATCACAAAGTCTCTGGGGAAAGATCCCTTCCTTCCTTCCTTCCTTCCTTCCTTCCTTCCTTCCTTCCTTCCTTCCTTCCTTCCTTCCTTCCTTCCTTCCTTCCTTCCCTCCTTCCTTCCTATCCATCCATCCCCGTTGACTTGGCTTTCCTTCTTTCTTCCTTTCTCTCTTTCCTGCTTTGTTTTACCTTCCTTCTTCCTTCCCTCTCTTTCATTTTTCCTTCCTTCCTTCCTTCCTTCCTTTCTTTTCCTTCCTTTCTTCTTTCTTCCTTCCCTCTTCTCCTGCTTTGTCTTTCCTTCCTCTCTTCGCTTCTTTTCTCTTCTCTTCTCTTCCCCTCCCTCCCTTCCTTTCTTCCTTCATTCCTTCCTCCCTCCCTTTATATCAGAAACTGGCTGGGAAGGTCTCAAATGAAGGTCACATGTCTCCAGGATGCTGCAACTATCATATAAATACATGCTGATTACCAAGCACCCAAATCACAATCATCTGACGATGGGGATGCTGTGACCATCCTAAGTGTGAGAACCAACTGCAAGTCAATGTAATTTTCCATTGTGATTTCAAATGTCCGCTAAAGAAACAGTTGTGCATTGAGGACTATCTGTGTAAACCCAAGCTGTAATTAAGTATTATTTATTAAATAAAATTTGTTCAAAAAACCATAATTAAAGGAAACCATAATTTGACTTCATAATGTGACTTCAGTTTGTTATTAGAGTAGCTTTCAGGAAAATATGACTTTTTAATTCTCAGTTCTAGAATCTGAAGCCACGAAAAGTAATAGAACCAAGAAAAAAACTAAATTAAATTCACTAAGAACATAGGAAGAATGGATGTTCTGGCTGGATCAATCCCTACATCCAGAAGTAGAGCTTGGAGTGTGGAAAAGGAGTTTGGTTTTAAAGGGCAATGAAATAGTCCAAAACCCACAAAAGACTGTAATATTTAAAAGCTCCCAGCTGTCTTGGCATTTTTCCAATTTATTCTTTTTCCAGACTATTTGTCAAGGCAACAGGAATTAATTAAAACCATGGGCAAATTTTATAGGGCCAAATTTTAGAAGCTTTGGAGTTGCTTGACATTTTTCCATGTTGCAAAACCAACCTCGAAAATCAAGTCAATGCTAGATTCTTTGGGAACATAAGCTTCTAAATAGTTTGCATCGTAGCATTGTTCTCCCTCTTCTTAAAATTAAATCCTTTAATTGACTGTTCTCAGGAAAGCAAAGGGCATAATTTGGCATCGAAAGATTACTCTCCACTCACTGCTTCCACACAAAAGACTGATTTACACAAATACTCTCCCCCACCCCCCACCCCCAGCCTTTCAGCTCATATTAATACATCAACTTTACCGAAGGACACTTTAATAATTTGCTAAGGTGCATCCATTATTTATTTAAGGTGGGTTGCAATGATCAAGAACAGAAAAATAAACATTAAACACTTGTCCGTAAATTAGCTCGCATCTCTTCTGCGGCAGT